ATTGAATGCCAGTTTACAGGCATCGTCAGGGAAGCGTTAAACACAAATCCGGCCAGCAGTGAAAAAAAACTCATGTCGAAAAGGAAAAAAATAAAGTTGATGGTGGTTATTATGGTTTTGAGGGTTCAGGAGAAAAAATACTGCTAACGGCCGCCTGTCGACCGTCAAGAAGGGAAGGGTTGCATGGTATCGGATGTTATCAGTCGCCAAATTCTTTCACGACGTTAGGGCTAGTCCAAACAGAAGCGCCGAAGTACAGCTGTCGCTGTTGGCCAAAGAACTTGTCCCTGGTGAGACCGGCCATAGTGGTCAGAGACCTAAAACGCCGTCACTACGGTAGAGTCGATCAGTGGATTCAGCACCCACAATTTGTAGGAGCTTTTCTGAATGCAAAATTCGAGTTATAGTCCTCTTAAATAAAGGATAATTTTGCAGAGTTTCCACATTCCTGGGTAGCTTATTGCAAGTAGCAATTGCATTTACAGAAAAGAACCGATGATATTTAACAGTGCGTGCCCGAAAAAGAAATAAGGAGACCTCACGGTGACTGTTACGTCGGGGGTGAACATGATGTGTTAAAGTTGTGAGTGGGTTAAAGGTGCGATGTATCACACCATATAGACTACTCGCGTTTTTTAGCGAAATTTCATCGTACAGGACAATAAATTAGTGGTACTTCTTGAGGGGGTTCCAAGGAACTTCGAATGCCACACCGGCCGTCTCCTTTCGGACAGCATTCTAACTCGCGTTTTAACACGGCTGTTTAAAAATATATTGAGAAAATGTTTTGCGGATGAGAACTGCCCCACGACTGTGCAGTGCATCACCAAATAGTAAGGATCAAACATAATTAATTGCGACAGTTGCATTTCAGTGAAGAGTTGACAGAGAAATTAGTTGTTCCGTAATCTTTTACTCTACTTATGAATGAAGATTTGCTTTTAAACTGGGTGTGGTGGGTGTTCATTTTATATTTAAAATCAAATGCATTTAAAATAAAGCGCCTTACCTAAATACCGGTTGAAACTCAAACATGAGTAGAAACTTATCAAAAAACATACTTCGGATTTAGAGTCCTAGCATGGAAATGACAGCTTTCTGCCCGGATCTTTCGTGTTCACCTAGATATGGCGGTAAATAGTTTGAATATTGGCGAACAAAGGTGACACATGCCTTTTGGGACACTACACAGACTTCATATCGGCCGACTGATAACGCCTGTTCAGTTCGGTTCAGTTCAGTTTAGTGAGGAACGTAGGCGTAAGCCTTTGTGTACCCTATTTGCAACGTAAAAAATGTGTGGTATACAGATAAATGTTCTGGCCTGTAATAGTTCAAACAAGCCCTTAAGTGTAGGACAAAATGGGAACGTGTTACAGGGGATGAGTTCTACTTCTCATCGCTCTTAGTCATTTCGGAACATTAATATGTCAAGATTCTTTTTAAAACTTTGTAATGATGGTGACATCACAACCTTTGCGGCATGGGCTTTCCATAGTTTGACCACTGGAACAGAGAAGGAGAACTTCCGCACATCCAGCCTTGCCTATTGAGTACGCACTTTAAACGGGTGACCTCGGAGGTTGGTCGTGGTAGCAAATTCAAAAAAGTTCTCGAAGGCCAGGCTACAACGCAACCCCTTTACAATGCGGAATGTTTGCAAAAGACTCCCGCGAAGTCGCTTGTAACTCAAAGGAAAGACATCAGATTTACTAGGCGGGTTGCATAAGGAAAGGTGCTTTGACCCCTTACCATCTTCGTAGCTTTCCTCTGAACTTTTCCGAGGCATTTCTGATCTTCAACCACCCAGGTCTCCAGGCTTGTATGCCGTACTCCAAATGTGGCCGGACGAATGTTCCGAATGTCTTTGAGGAAGCATCTTCGTCAAAGTCCATAAACGCAAGCTTGATGGCGTACAGAACGGACATTGCGCTTTTTACCACTCTCAAACAATAGGCGGATGGCTTTAGGGAACTCGTCGTCAACTTATCGAGGTCCTTGTGGGCTTCGACCTCTTATAGGGATGCACCGCCCAGAAAGTACTCTCTTGTGCTGGCGGATCTGGCTGTGTTGCCTAGGGCGAAGTATGCTAAATTTACCAACGCTGAACCGCAGGAGCCAACAGTTCGACAACTCCTCCAAACGACTTAGGTTCACCTGCAGTCTGTCTTCAACAGCGGGACCCCGAATCACACTCCATATCTTCATGTCATCGGCAAACATTGCTACTTCGCAGTCTAAAGTTCATGCGGCATCGTCCACGTATATAAGGAACAAAGTGGGTCCCAGTACTGAACCCTGGGGGACACCACTCTCGAGCATGGCAGGATCTGATTTCCCTTGACCGATGCACACAACCTGGTGTCAACCCACAAGGACGTTTTCGATCCATTTAAGGAAGTTGTCATCGATTCCTATTTTTTTAGTTTATGCAAGAGCCTCTGGTGTGGCATAGGGTCGAACGCCTTCTGGAAGTCCATGAAAGCTATGTGGACCGCGTGCCTGTCGTCGAGAGCTCGGGTCCAGCTCTGGAGAGATTGCAGCAGGTTTGTCGTGCAGGATCTTCTTTTCCGGAACCCCTGTTGGCATTTCAATAGCAGGCCGTGAACTTCCAAGAATTGCATCAGTTCACTGTTTGTGATCCTTTCCATAACTTTTCAGAGAATGCATGGGCCTGTAGTTTTTTCGTCGCTGCGCTGCTACCTCCTTTGGATAGCGGAGTAATATGCGCTTGCTTCTAATCGGTAGGAGGTGTTCCAGTGTCAAATGACGTTTGAAAGAGCATCGACAAAGTCCCAGAAAGCTCATTGGCAAGTTCCTTGAGAAGCTTGGGAGGAATCTCGTCTGGTCCTGGCGATTTCAGTTCGCTCAGTGCTTCTAATTCTCTTCGGAAAATGCCTGCTGATAAAAGTATATAATTTATGCTTGTAGTTGGCAGTTCTTCTGTGGAGGCAGAAGGGTACCTTGCCTCGTTTGTGTAGACTGATCGGAAGAACTGTGAAAAATAAGCAGCTTTATCCCTACTGTCAGCAATCTAAACGTCATCAGAAGTCCTTATTAAGAGGATTTGATGCCTGTTCCCTCTACTTCGTTGGAGGTAGCTGTGGAGTAATTTTGGGTTCTGAGTTGCGTTTTGTAGCAATTTCTTCTTGAATTCCCGCCGCGTTTTTACAATTATCTTTCACATTTTGTTGCTCGGTGTCATGTAGGTGTTGAAATATTCAGCTTGTCTAGTGGCGCAGTACTGTCTCAACAATTTGTGCTTCCTGTTGATTTCTTTCTTAAGGTTGCTGATTAGCCACCGAGGGCGTTTGTCCAGTCCTACACTAGTCAGTGGGCAGTAATTGTTCATGAGCTGCAGAAGGACATTCTTGAACAAATTCCAGCCATCGTTGGCATTTTCTGTAAACAATGAGCCTCAGTCGAGACCGGATAAGTCTGTCCTCATCTGATTAAAGTCGATCCGCCAAACATCCCGTCTTTTTTGTCTGGAGTATGCGAAATGGAGAATAACGAATAATCCCACATAAGAACTGCGTGATCACTTCGGGCAAGGAGTGGCATGGAGGTGATCTCGTCTATGCTGTCTGGTGTTTTCGTTAAAACCGGATCCAGGCACTTTGCCGTTTTTCCTTCATGTGTTCTCGTTGGAAACATTACATGTTGTGTGAGAGACGCCTTTAATGTTTTGTTCAGCAGACGGTAATCGAATGCCGATTTTGGACCTGACGCTTGGAGGATGTTCCAGTTTGTTCCTGGTGCGTTGAAGTCGCCCATGATCATGATGTTAAGTCGACTGGAAAATTTCTCCAACTGCTCCAATAGTTGAGTGCCAGCGATTTGGTCTCTCTATGTGGTTGGCAGACAGTAAGGACATCGAGACATGGGGAACCGGTAGCCTTGATGGTCAACCAAATAACAGCCGTGCTGCATGTAAACTTAGTGGTGTTTTCCGACACTGCCAGGCATTCATTCACATACACAACTTAACCACCACCCTGACGATGTTCCCTGTCCCACTGATAAAGTTGGTATCTAGGCAAGGCTACTTCGCTATCGCCAATATGCCCGGACAGCCAGGTCTCGGTTACTGCTAAAACACCTGGAGAGAGCTCGGCAAGGCAAAGTTTTAGCTTGCCTAGTTTCGATATGAGGCTTTGGGCATTAATGTACAAGCACCTCCGTTCTGCACCAGTCGAATATCTCGGTGCATTTGTCACTGTTTTGAGCACTACTCCGTTATCGCCGACGCCAATTTCTCCGGACACTTCCGTTACCTGATGGGTTCATTTAATATCCGTTGCTACAGTCAGATCACTGGACATTACGGGCTTACCTATATTGTCGCCTTTAGCAGGTGATTCCACGAAGGTGTGTGTGTTAGCTGAGTATCTTGCGTCGTTCTTAGTATTATTGGCTGGTTCCAATGTAACGGCATATATTTCCGAACTACCTTCCCATGAAGATAGCCTGCATTATATACGTGCAAAAAGTGTTTTCCAAAGAGACAGCGTCTTCGAAATACAAAACCCAAATGTGGGTCAGAATTCAAGATAGCATACTATGAGACTGTAATCGATTTTGCAGTTCAGGAGCATTCAGTATCGCAAGTTTCTTTTGACAAAACCTACTTTAATTTTCCTATCAAAGGTCAGCCGGTTAAATAGCTTATTTTCCGTCTTTCCCAGTGCCCATGTCATAATTTTGAGAGCTGACTGACCTGCCACATGGCTTCTACAATTACCCATCTTTGATGATGTTTCGCTCATTTTTGCCGTCCTACCGCATCACTCGCAGGTTTACATTTCAGCTGTGCATCCCGGTCCTTGGACATTTACGTCCCCTTTGTAGGTCTAGGAAAAGTGTGTTATAGTATTTGGAAAACGAAGAAATTTAATACTGACATATGAGCTTATAAAGTTCCCTGAAACATTTCTGAACGATCCGCTTGAACCCCAGTTCTTTGAACTCGCCGAAATTGGGGTGGGGTTTTCAGTGTAATGCCTGCCGACAGATTTCAGTTCGATGACAGTGGCGATACATTTTGCTGCTTTCTTGTAGCACTTTTTACAGTTGTTCTTCTTCCACTAACTTACTTCTTTTGGCCAAAACCCGAGCCTCGAGGTACTATTTATCTTACTTTTCTATGAGTACTAGAATCGAATGAATCCCTGAAAAAACGATGTCAGTGCCCACCTTGCCAGGTTAAAAGGAATACTCTTCGTTCCACAACATGTAAAAAACAAGTTAAAAGATGTGCTATGTAAGTTTAGTCGTCGCGTATATTGGATGTTTAGCAAAACTGCCTTTTTGGTAGCATGGTGTTTCCTTTTCCTACTAATATTCAAACTATCGAAAATTGAAGGTCATGTACCCGCCTTTGATCCTTTCCTGGAATTGTCAATAGATAGGGTAAGCTTTCTATTGTATTTAGTATGTTCGACTTCAGGATGCTTCGCCTGCTGAAATAAAGAAGGCTTATAAAGCATTGTCTCTGATTCACCACCCGGATCGGGGTGGTGAGGAACAAAAATTCATTCGCATATACAAGGCATACGCTGCGTAAGTTTTGCTTTTTGCATTTATTTCAATATCTTTCGTGAGTTGTCCTGCATTCTATAGTCTTTTTTGAAAACTCATGAACTTTCATGAGTAGATACGTTGTCAACCTATTCCATCGTTATTTTCTCATGCATTTGTCAACGTGCCTTCTAGGGCAGCAAGCTAGGAGAAAATAATCCTATATACACCATTTTTCATGTTCTAGATTTGGCCGCACGTAGTCGGCTTCTTTGTCACGCGTCTCTCGACTTTCTCTAATCACAGTTTCACGCTTCCACCGTAAACCGGGCGGGAAAACTCCCTTTTGAGCGTTATGGGTTTTTATTATTCTGAGGGTATAGTGCCGTTTTCTGCTAGGTGCCATGCCGTATTTGACCCAGGGCGCAACCGAGAACCACCACGGTGCAGGAGGTTGTGACGAGACGATGTTGTATTGTTATACCAAAATTTGCCACGGTTGTACACTCTTTTAGCAAGTTCATGAATTGTAACCAAAGGAGTAGTCGTTCCACCGTATCAGATTCCACATTTGCCTAATTTAACATGTTGCTTATTTTATTTTGCCTTTTCCGGCTTTAACTTTGATTTTTGATGTTGGTCCAGCTCTTCTATTTTTGCGTCTTTCTGCATTCACTGTTGCATTTCTATTTAAAGCCGCACATGCGCTTCGTTGGTAGTGACGTGCTTTCTTTACTGCTTCTTTACATTTAGCCTTACTGACGAAACTGCAAAGAAAAACTGGCAGGAATATGGCAATCCGGATGGGCCTGAAGGTAAGGAGCTTTTAAACTGTCCTTTTATTTCGAGATAAACGTAATGTATGATACTGTGCTACCTATGTCTCTTGTTAACAAATAAATAAGTGTTCGGCTTCAGTACCAAACCGATGCTTTGTAATGGTAGTAAGAGTCCGCAAAATGATTATAAGTGGGATATTGAATGAATGTTGTCAGTGCAAGACATGACCCTTCTATCTTAATTTGCAAAGTCATGAAAAATCGGGTTCCCCATCAATCCATGCAAATTAGCTTTCATATTAGTGCACGTGATATGTCGACTGCTTCAAGCGCCACTCGACAGCTCAAAAGCACGCCAAAAGATAGACGCGTCGCCCAAGTAGACCAGTACTCTATATCGCTCCGAAGTTGTCTTGTCGACGGCTTTGCATTGCTTTCAGAAAAATCTCTTGTGGACATACTAGCATTGCCGTATCTACCACACTTATTTGTTTTGTGAGACTCCAAAGATCTGTAAATAGCGCTATTTCATTGTACGAAGTGCTCATCCGTTACAGAGCCAGTCCATTGTATTTCAACATGTTGTCTTGCACGTTAGAAGTGCTACATACATTGTGCTGACATCAATATCTACCATACTTCCAGAACCTCCGCCAGGGTGGCCCATTGCCATTTCCCGCTTGTGCGTATCTTAGTTATAGAATGTAGCCGCTTTTGTCTTTACGAAAATAGTGCTCGTTCTATCTTTTGACATATTCAGAATTGTCATAGGTCACTTTGCCTAGCCACCTGAGTTGCGAGGTCCCACTGGGAGTCATGAGCTTAGCCACATCTTTGTTAAGTTGCCGCCCTGTTTACTGCAAGGTATGAAATGCACTAATTCTAATACAATAGGCCGACAGCCTAAATGTGATTAAACCGACGGCTCCCGATTGTGCCTCGTAGCGCATCACCTGTGCTCAAGCCTTGCCTTTGATGTTGTGGGCTCGAATCCCACTGATACCATCGAGTTTTCGCAACTGGATCAAATGAACTATTCAAAATCTGCCAAAGCACCTGTTTGTACAATGGAGTTTTACTTTGTTGGTGCTTTGCACATATCATGTGTCATCAGGTTTAAGCATGGAAACTTTTTCCAATTATTTAAGACGTTTACTGTCGCTTAAATGCCCTCCCCTCTTTTGTACGGCCCGTAACATGTCTGTCCGCACTGCATGAATTTTGTCTCGTCCCCACGCCTTGGATAGTCCCCGCCATATTCACCTACACTGGGTCCTTCAGATAGTCCACATGAAAACAAGGTCGAGTGGTGTCAAGTCAGGCGATCGTGGTGGCCGGTTGATATCTGATTCCCGCGAGATTATCAACTCTTCGAGGATCCACGTTGCGACTTTGACCGTATGCGCGATTACGCTATCTTGTCACCGTGTCTCAGGCCTGTTGGGTATTGCCTGCTGGTTGTTGTCGGCCCCACGTATCCGTAATGCCGACTTCGCTCTGATAAATCGACCGTCCAAGTAGCCTTTTGGCTTTACCCCTCACCAGACCGAGGTAGCGCAAATCACGCTGGTGGGTAACCATCGGCTTCTATGTGCTCAAACAAAATGGTATTTTGCCGATCCACAGAACCGCTAGGGTAAGTGTCGACTTCATCTACGGTGGCGTAGAGGTAACGCGTACATGCTCTGCGTGTTAGGCTGATGAAGAGCCAATTTGTGAAATATAGTTCAATGGCTTTTACGTTGAGATGCGTTATTGGAGAATTCGCAGGTAAGTAATTCTCAAGGTCTGAACTGAAGACCAAAACATATTTGTGTCGGAAGGGTTGTTGATTTTTAATTCGCAAAACCCTTTGTATTACGTTCGCTGTGGTGTCGACACAAAATACCGAATCAAGGTCCTTTTCTTGACAGAGCAGTCTGCCATGAAATTATTGATTGGCGTCTTTTTTACCCGGTTAGCGACTTTCTTCTGTTTGGCAAAAAATCATGCAGTAAACGCATGAATCTCTGTTGACAAACTTTTCACTGGTCTGGCAAGACCTGTGGCTCTTGTTAGGAAATATTTACCAGTAAATGTTTGCTAAAGCATATTTATTTGGTCGAAATGGTCGCCTGCTTGTCATGCATCAGGGCGAAAACATTTTACATGACCTATTGTAAGCCTTCAAGTCAACGGGAAACTCATTCTTCAAAAGCATACCCTATTCGGTACTGTTTAACGATTGCCTATTACCAGATACGGTTTCCCGCTGCTGGTTTCCACTTTGGTTCCACATGGCACATTCAGTTTTGGCTGACGTCTGTAAAATAAAAGCGTGCATTTCTGTTTGCAAAGTTTTCGACCCGACGGGATCTTTTGAACTTACTTGGAAATATCTACTGGCAAGCTTTGACGAGAGTATATTTGAGCGAGACGGCCAAATTATTTCTAATTGACTAAACATACAGACATTTTGTAATCCTCCAAGGCAGCGAGGGACTCTCTTTTCGAACATGTACTTTACTCAGTGCGTTTCAACGATTGCTTCAAAACTTCTAGACGGAACCTGAAAACGCTTCGGGAAACTATCCAACGATTTCTTTTCATTCGTTCTAGCTATCAACTTTGGTATCGCTCTTCCAAAATGGATGATCAAGAAGGAAAACAACTTCCTGGTTGTGGGAGCCTATGCCCTTGTGTTCATGTTCATCCTTCCCCTTGTTGTCGTAAGTCTACAGACTTAACTCTATTGTTGCTAATCATAAGAATGATTCGAGGTGGCCGTTGTTAGGTAGACTTTATGGTATGGGTTGGGCTGTTTGCGCTGGTTTCAGCTGTCGTAACTGGCGGGTTTCGTGACGAGAAGACACTAGCTGTTTCACTTTTGACTTCGGGCGTGAACGCTTCGAAATGGCCCGGTTTACAACGTTCAGTCTCCAAGCTGTCCGTGTTTTCGACCCTTTCAACACATTTCCGGAGTAATAAGTGGGCTAACTTTGGGGAATTCGTTTGATTTAATTAGGGGTAAGATCTCCAGACTGGAGCTTTTTGTAGTAACCCCACGGTTAGTACCCCGGCTATTTTCAGCATATACATATAATGGTAGGGGACGCTCACCGATCGTTCTTACGGAACTTACTCGTTCCGTTGTGCATTGCGGGCTCTCTCTCGAGCCCAACCAACAGCCACATAGCGGCGAATGATATAGGCGGAATAGCATTACCGACAAAGACAAGGGAGACTGGAATGACCATTTCTGGCTTATTGGCCGTCCTCATCCAGTCATACCCAACCCCGAAATGTTGAACACCTGGGACTCGAACTCGCGACCTGTTTGTTTAGAAGTCAACGCCTCTACTCACCGGGCCACGAGCCCGTTGCCCTGTCAGTTTCGATTGGGAATATACAATGGTAGAAGAGCGCTTACCGATCGTTCTTACGGAACAGGTCGCGAGTCCGAGCCCCGGTGTTCCACACTTCGGGGTTGGGTATGACTGGCAGACGGCGACTAATAAGCCAGAAATGGTCATTCCAGTCTCCCTTGTCTTTGTTGGTAATGCCAATCTGCCCGTGTCATGCACCGCTGTGCGCTGCTGTTTGGGCTCGAGAGAGAGCCCATAAGGCACAACGGAACGAGTGGGTTCCGTAAGAACGATCGGTCAGCGCCCCTCTACCATTATATATTCCCGATCGAAACGGACAGGACAACGGGCCCGTGGCCCAGTGGTTAGAGGCGTTGGACTTCTAACTAACAGGTCGGAAGTTCGAGCCCCAGGTGTTGAACATTTCGGGGTTGGGTGTGACTGGCTGATCGCGGCTAATAAGCCGGAAATGTCCATTCCAGTCTCCCTTGCCTTTGTCGGCAATAACATTCTGCATATATATTTATATATCAAGGCAATAATTCCTGAAATAATTAAGTGCAGGACACGGAGTTATGCACCCGGATGGACATTACGTGATTAATTCACAGCAGTTCATTGTTTCCGACCCAAATGTTCATTTGAATTTCCGGTATGACCCTAAAAAGTTGTCTCGGCCACTTTACTCCATGTTCAGCACTTAATAATTTCGGGAATTATTATCTTGGTATGCATGTATATTTATTATATTCACTCAGGAATGGGCCACACCGATCCATTGGCTTCCCGAAGCAAACGGGCTTCGTATGGGTGATAGAGGGTCACTAACAGGCATCCGCCTATCAGACCGAAGTCGGCCAAGCTCTGATAGCAGAGGGGAGACGACAGAGTCGGGGGGGAGGTAGATTAATACAGCACTGTTTCGGGCTTGTTTGCCATCATTCAGCCAATTACAACCCTGACCAGCAGCTGGGGCCGGAAACACAAACATGCGCACAGACGCACCTGGCGCATCTGGTCCACCACCAGATAGGTCATAAGCACTTCGTGGAACTGAAATTCATCAGTGTCTCGCCATCTGCCATTCTCTGTCGCTGCAGATCGGGTATTTATTCACTCAGGAATGAGCGCAGACCGATCCGTTGGTTACCCAAAGCAAACAAGCTTCGTCGGCTTCGGCCTGGTAGATGGTCACCTGTTCATGACCCCTATCACCTAGTGAGATTGAAAAAGGTGTGACGGTGCCCAAAATCACTGAATTGCAAGGTTAAGCCCATAACTAACTGTAGTGATGGGAAGTCCAAATAGTAGTTTTTGTGCCTCATCTAGACAGTACTCTTACAATTCCTGATATGCGTCTGCCTCCTCACCCATGCCGCAAAAAATGGTGCATCTACTGTTATGCAGCCACTCGTTATCTAGAGTTTCACGGTCCCTTCGTACTTAATCTGGCAAGACTTGTTATTCAGGGCAAGGTTATTGCTTAATCTAACTATTCAGGACACTAGTTGACAATGAAGATTCACTCAGGAATGAGCGCACACCGATCCATTGTCTACTCGAAGCAAACAAGCTTAAGATTGCAATTAAGGATAAACGAAACACAAGCCAGGGGGAGCAGAACCGAGGCATACCGATGGTGTCTCCTGTTGCGTAACCGGGATGTCGGACCTGTTGTCTGGTTTCCGTAATTTCAAACGATCTTCCCCCTAATACTGCGGGCAAACCGCCTTATCGTGGTCGCCGTTTATTCGCCGTTTTATTTACAGTGCGTGACCGATCTCATGAAATGTTGGCCGAATTTCTGAAATGCTTTTCCGACTAGGAAGGATTACTTAAGAGGGGTTGTTATACTGACTATGATGCAGAATAACCCTCTGACATTTCGGACTCGCCAGGATGTCGGCTTTTGAATGCACTTCCTTTTAACTTCATGCAGAAACCACACTCGGCAAGAAATGACTACTTAAGTAGCATGCGTTTTTCCTGTAGATTTTGGTGGTCTTATAAATTAAAATATATTTTATAGAGAACATGCACAAAATATGCTTTCTTTTACTTATTTGGCAGGAAATCACATTGTTTTCATATTTCATATCCGAGGAAAATGTGCATTTGGGTTTTAAAAAAGTTCCCCAATTCCTGAATAATTTTCAGCCTGATCTGCCGTTGCACCAGCGTTTAGCAATTGCAGTCCAAAAGGTGCATGCTTCCCGCGTAATGAAAATGATATATTTCTCAACGCCTCTAAGACGACACCACATAGAGTTCATGAAACGTTGTAATGGATCCGGACTCTGTTGTACATTTCATGAGAAGCATTAGTAAATGGACATGTGCGGTCATGCATGTATGGACATCGCACGGTTTTAAAAATCTCATAATTAGAAACTTTTCCAAAAGTTAAATATACCATTTCTTCGGGTATAAAATGTAAAGATGACTGAAACTGCTAAACGCTGATGCAATGGCGGATCAGGCTGAAAATTATTTGGGAATTGGGAAACTTTTAAAACCCAAATACACAGGTTCCTCGGGTATAAAATATGAAGCCAATGTGATTGCCTGCCAAATAAGCAAAAGAAAGTATATTTTTGTGCATGTTTTCTATAACATATATTTGAATTTGTAATACCATCAAAAATCAATAGAAAAAATGCATGCTACTTAAGTAGTAACTTTTTACCGCGTGTGGTTTCTGCAGGTGGTCAAAAGGAAGTGCATTTAAAAGCCGACATCCTGGCGATTCCGAAATGTTATAGGGTTATGCTGCATGATGATCAGTCTAACAGCCTCACTTAAGTAATCCCTCCTAGTCGAAAACACATTTCAGAATTTTGGCCAACATTTCATGAGAAAGGTCACGCACTGTACGTATGCCAAATTTGCGCCTTACTCACCAGTCTTTGTATGCTCCCTCAGTGTCTCTGGTGGTACAACTCGATGAAATTCAGCAGCACCAAGGTCCTGCTGGTTACAGTGCGCCTCTTCTGCGGCAGTTTCATGTACAACCCCTTCATGGCCATGCCGCGCCTCATAAAGCTCCTCTCCTGTGCCTACGAATTCAACAGTCAGTTCAACAAGGACATTGTCTGCCGCCCAAGTGACAACGTGGAACTGCATCCGGTAGGTAGTTTACCGACCTACATATTTATCCTTTGTCCCACAGGGGTACAGCAGTGACTGTCGAAGCACCCTTCTCATACTCACCTTGCTCTCACCATGAAAAGACAAATCCGAGACAACTGCAATCGAACCATGGTGCGGTGGTTAAGACGTTGAAGTCCTCCCCCCCCACTGGCGCATGTGCTGGTTCCATCATCTCCAGTATCTGCCACAATAGTCGTGTTACGGGGGGAGCCTTTTCGGTCTTACCCTCAGTCCAGAGTCCGGTCTGTACTTCTCTACGGTTGCGAATGCTGGGCTTTGCGCGTGGCGGATGAGCGAAAACTGGAGGTATTTGACCACCACTGCTTGAGGATCATCCTTCGAGTGAAGTTAACCGACTTCGTCCCAAATGAGATAGTCCGCGCTCGCTGCGACAACATCGCGAGGATAACTCAGGCCATCCAAGAAAGACGACTGAGGTGGTTCGGGTATGTTCTTCGTCGTTCACCTCAGGAGCACAGTGTTGCTGCCCTCGATCCGGCACCGTTGCCCCATTGGAGGCGTCGAAGAGGGGGTCAGTTCAAAACCTGGCACGACACTGTCCGTCAAGACATGGAGGTGGTTATTTGACCTTCGGTATTCGGTCTCCGTCGTTGGCGAAGGGAATGGGTTGAGCTGTCTAGATCTGCTGCCGCCGATCGTCACGCGTGGAGAGGTACAATTCGGGACATCATCGAGGCCGGCTAGATCAGGCATGATCGCAGCCGTATCAAGTACAAGTAAGTACAGAGTAGGGTCGTGTTATCCCGTCAACTAGTAGTCCAGCCACGGCTTCTAGCTCGTAGTTTTTAGAGACTCGTCGCTACCGTCGGTACACCGACGTACACCCCGGAAATCCCCTCAATAGGCTAGAGCCGTGCGGAATGCGAGTCTCTTGGTCATAATTCTCCGACCCGTAACCAGTAATTGAAAACAACAACCTCCGGCTTGTGTATTTCTGCGATTAAGTGTCTGCACAGATAAATAGCATCGAGAAGCAGTACTGGTGAGGATGTCGCCAAGCCATTATCACCTTAATTAGTAGTACCTGTGATGAGTTTTAGGCGACTGACTGCGGCATATTCAGTATTCAAACAGAAGTCCGAAAGTTAGACCCGGTGCTCCTGCAGTGGAGTCATCGCATTATACGCATTTGCCAATTGTGACGACTTCGTGTTCTGCCGGACAAGCTTTTTTTCTACAGGACGCCGTTACTTGCTACTCAGTTCACGCTCGTTTTTGCTTGCCTCTACATAGAGCCTGTATTGTGATGTTCAACCTGCCACAGCACTCTTCTCCCCCCCACTACTTCCTACGGCTAGTAGTATTGACGGGTGACTAATTTGTGCCCCCACGTCTTCAGCTAATGTATTAGGTTTGACTTTCCGTATAGCCGTCCCAACCGTCCTTGACGTTTGATCAGGCCCCTGGTTTTTGTCTATTTCTACCTCTCTGTCGCTTATCCATTGGTACTGGTGCAATAGCATTCATACTACATGCTGCTCAGAGATTTGAGCCTTCCCTCTTCCTCACATTCAGCTGATCCAGCAAATCCCTGCCTTCACCATCTTTAAGAAGGCCATTGTCGGTGCACCCTATGCAATCAAGGCGCGAGCTCTAATTTACGCGCACATGCTTCGGCTGGATCTGCCTCCGAAAACCCTCTTCCTCGGTTAGTCTATTCTGTATGCCTTTTTTGCTGCATCGTACGCACAGCGTCCACATTGGAAGCTTCTTGCACAATTTTACGCTTCTGACTCACGGCGCCGTCTCTGGCACCATGCCGATCGCAATGTTTTTTTTTGCTGCGTGTTAGTAATAACAGTTGCTGTATCGGACCTCATTTTACAGGCATTACTTGACACAGACAGGAATCATACCGCGGATTGGAACTGCCTCCCTTCCCCACGCGTGGCGATCTGCAGCGGCTGACCTAGGGCGCTCGACTAGCTCCCAACTTTAGCGGCAGAAACCGAATACCGGAGGTCCGAACACCACCTCCATGTCCTGACTGTGTTGGGCTAGGTTTTAAGCCGCCCCCTCTTCGACTCCTCTAAGTGCGCCACGACGTTAGATCAAGGACAGAAAAACTGAGCTCACGGAGCAGATGACAAAGGATATTGTCTCTTGGATGGTCTATGGTATCCTCGCGAGGTCTTCGCAGCGAGTGCGAACTGTCTCATTCGAGACAAAGTCAGTTTACTTCGCCCTGACGGTGGTAGTCAAACATCCTCGGTTTTGGTCCGTCCTTTAAGCGCAGAGCTCAGCATTTACAACCGTTTTGGAGGGTTAACTGGACACATGTCCTGTACACGCAGATCTTTATGGCGATGGAGAAGCCGCTGCCGGAACAGCCTGCGGCAGCACCATCTCAGGAAATGATTTCGAGTTTGGGCGATCTAGTAGCAACCTCACTCTGAGGTATTCGAGGCTACCCACTCCTTTAGATTGAGCCATTTCCCCGGAGGACAGGCTTTTGGTCAAAAATGCAACCCAAAAGGACATTAATCCTCCCAGCGCTTATGGACATACCGACTGCTTTAACGATCTTAGTCAACCGTAAAGTTGCATTCTGCAGACCATCATAACTTGGCGCAGGAATGGCAGTAGTGCCAGCTTAGTCGACGTCGGTCAGCTGATGCAATAGCGCCACCTAAACACCGTCAAAACCGTGCAGGGTCCCTCCGAGAACCCGGTTAATGGCGTGGTTAAGACGAATGCTAGATTGCAACCAGACCGAATATTTAGCAGTGGGAGTGATTTATGCGGACAAGAACATCACCGATGGCTCGCATGCGGGCGTTGGTCATGGTGGTGGCCTTTGTCGGCATGCTATCTAGTATCCTAACGTTTACTGTAAGCACTTCCAGTTCCAGTGCTCGCCACAGGTACCCATGGTCGACGGAATCATAGGCTGCAGCGAAGCCAACACAGCTGATAACCATCAGTTGCTTTTTATCGTGTCGGATTTGAAGAGTAGGTCATAAAGTGGCTATCTGACCGGCCGGCCCACGTCCAGCCAACTCGATTTCGTCTCGTTCTGCAGTCAGACATTCTCTGAAACCGCCTGTGAATAATTGTGGCAGGGTACCATAACAGTAAGTTTCATGAGGCTTGTGCTGCGGTAGTCGTCGCGCTGTGTCTTAATCACGGACACAGGGATGTCCCATCTCCGGTCTTCATTGCTGAGCTCACCTTCCCACGCTTGTTCAGTCGCCTCGTCAACGCCAGGCTTGCAGATTTAAACCAGAATACCCTCCTTTGCAGGCGCGTTGTCGTTGCGCAACCCCCCCCCCCC